GCTTTTAAAGAATGGAGGTACTTATTAGAGGGAGCTAGACACAAAATTCTGGTTCTAACTGATCATAAGAATCTCTCCTATATAGCCGACACTAAAAGGTTATCCTCTCGTCCGGCTAGATGGTCTTTATTTCTGTCACGGTTTCAGTACATTATCACTTATAGGCCTGGATACCGTAACCTTTAGAGTCGATTGCCCCCGCTCCCAAACCCATTGTACCTACATCCTCGATAATAGCTGCTACCCGTTTGGTTATTTTGTCTCTTTTCCATGAAAGCATCAAGACATACCAATCCCAAGCACCCTCTGAGACACCTGTTGGTTAATTATACGTGTAAGAAAAAGACAGAAAGAAGATGTTAGCTTTATTTCACACCGCCAAAACCGTGGGTCATCCAGGGATTACCAAAACATACAAGGGCCTTCTCCAACAGTTTTGGTGGCCCTCCCTTAAACAAGATGTGATGGATTATGTACGGGCTTGTCATGTTTGCACACAGTGTAAGTCCCCTAATGTTAAACCCCCGGGACTCCTAATGCCCCTATATGTGCCCAAGAAACCATGGACCCACTTATCCATGGATTTTATTGTGGATCTTCCTTCGTCTGATGGACTGACAGTTATTTTGACTGTAACCGATAGGTTCTCTAAAATGTCACATTTTATTCCACTTAAAAAACTACCTTCTGCGGTTCAGTTGGCTCAGGTGTTTGCCAAAGAGTTGTTCCGCTTACACGGTATACCTCAAGATATCGTATCTGACAGGGGTCCTCAATTTGTCTCTCGGTTTTGGAGGGGCTTTTGTGCTGAGATGGGGATCTCCCTGTCATTTACTTCCTCTCTCTCTCGTGCGGTTGCTGCGCAGAAGAGGTTTGCTGGTCTTCGTAGGTGTCCGGCTCCTTTTTATGTCCCGGGTGATAGGGTTTGGTTGTCCTCCAAGAATCTCCGCCTCAGGGTTCCCTCGATGAAATTCGCGCCCAGGTTCCTTGGTCCCTATAGGGTTTTGCGTGGGGTTAATCCTGTATCTTACTCCCTGGCCTTGCCTCCTTCCATGCGTATACCTAACACTTTTCACACCTCCCTTTTGAAGCCCTTGCTCTGTAATCGGTTCTCTGGTCCTCTCAGGCGTCCCGATTCCCCCTACGCAGTCTCCAGTGACGTGTACGAAGTTGCTGCACTCCTTGATTCTCGGTTCTCTCGAGGCCAGTTGCAGTATCTGGTGGATTGGAAGGGTTACGGTCCTGAGGAGCAGTCTTGGGTTTCTGTCTCTGATTTGAATGCGCCCTCTTTAATCCGCTCCTTTCATGCGCGGTTTCCTCTGAAGCCTTCGGCTTCCCGCCCTCTGGGCGGTCCTCGAGGGGGGGTTATGTCAGGGCCCCTGTCGGCAAGTCCAGTCCTCCTCCTCGCCTCCCAGCGGCAGCATGTATAACGCTGCATGCTGGGAGCCCGCGCACTTATGCGAATTAAGTGCCTGTTGTGGTCTTGTGTTACCTGTAGTGCAGCTTGCTCGTGTTTCTCTCTGGTTACTGATTATTTGGCTTGTTATTCTGATTTTTCTGATTTCTCCATTCCTTTGACCTTTGGCTTGTTTCTCGCTCTCCTGTTTTCTGGCTCCCTTTACTTGGCTTGTCTCCTGACTATTCTTAGTGTGCTTAACCCCCTCTAAGGATCGGTATAGCACCATTTCTCTCTGTGACCTGTTAGCGTGTTAGGTTCCCGAATCGTAACACTTTCCTTGTCTCGGTGAATGCTGTCAGAAGGTGAGGTAAAGCCCAGTCCCTTGAGAAACGCTGCAGAGTCTTCCGCGTTGGAGAGTAGGTGAATGCAGCCATTCCTAGTAACTGTCAGGGCTCGAGAGGGGCCCCATTTGTAGGTGATGTTTGCCGAACATAGGGTCTTGGTAACTGGTTGAAAGGACCTTCTCCATTCCAAGGTGAATCGGCATAAATCTTGCAGGAACTGGAGTTGCATCTCCTCAATTTGAAGTGATGTTCTAGTTTTCACTGCATCCTGCAGAGCTAGCTTATCCCGAAGTAGTGGGAAGAGTACCAGGACATCTCGGGGGACACCAGCCAGTGCCTTGTTTGATTTGGTGAGCCTGAAGCACCTGTCAACTTGAATGCCTTTTGCGGAGTGCTGGTGTAGAAGAGTAGACATTAAGCGTCTAAGAAAATTAGACAGTTTATTGTCATTAATGGATTCCGCACTACCCCTAATTTTGAGGTTCTTGCGCCTCCATGCTTCATCCAGGATGACAATTCTGACCTGCATGGCCGTGTGAGATGCCTGTAGTTTGTGTATCAGCTCGTTGGTGCTTGTCTGCTTCTGGGCTATGGAAGAAATGTTGTCTTTGTTGGCCTGTACTCTGGCCATCACCATAGTGATGTCCTCTCTAATGATGTCGAGGTCAGCATTGTTCATCAGAGCCTTGATGTCCCCCTTAGTAGCTGGGGCTGGCAGGTCTTCCCAGGGGCGTATTAGCCGCGAGGCAAACAAGTCATTTGCCTTGGGCGGCATTTTTCAGGGGGCGGCAAAAAACGCCGCCCCCCAAATGCCCAGGGCAAATGCCTTGTTAGCCTTGCGGCTAACAGACATCCCGAGCGGGCGGGCGGGCGGCGCTGGCAGGCGGGCGGCTGGCGAGGGAGCACTTCCTCTGAGCTGACTGCTCAGCTCCCTCGCGCACCGCAAAGTGAGACTGGGAGCCGGAAGATGATGTCATCTTCCGGCTCCTAGCCTCACTCTGCAGCCGGCGCGCGAGGGAGCTGAGCTGACAGCTCAGAGGAAGTGCTCCCTCGCCAGCCGCCCGCCTGCCAGCCCGACCTGCAGCCACTGGACCACCAGGGAGAGAGACCCCCCCCCCAGCACTCCCAAAGGTAAGGAGGTTGGGGGGGGATTTAAATTAAAAAAAAAGTTAATGTGTGTTTGTGTCTGACTGTGTGTGTGACTGTGTGTGTGTTTGTCTGACTGTGTATGTGTCTGACTCTGTGTTTGTCTGACTGTGTTTGTGTATGTGTGTGTGTGTTTGTGTCTGACTGTGTTTGTGAGTGTGTCTGTTTGTGTATGTGTCTGTGTATGTGTCTGACTGTGTGTGTGTTTGTGTCTGACTCTGTGTGTATCTGACTGTGTTTGTGAGTGTGTGTGTTTGTGTCTGACTGTGTGTCTGACTGTGTGTGTGTTTGTCTGACTGTGTTTGTGTCTGTGTATGTGTCTGACTGTGTGTGTGTCTGACTGTGTTTGTGAGTGTGTGTGTGTTTGTATCTGACTGTGTTTGTGAGTGTGTGTGTGTGTTTGTGTCTGACTCTGTGTGTGTCTGACTGTGTTTGTGAGTGTGTGTGTGTTTGTATCTGACTGTGTTTGTGAGTGTGTGTGTTTGTGTCTGACTCTGTGTGTGTCTGACTGTGTTTGTGAGTGTGTGTGTGTTTGTATCTGACTGTGTTTGTGAGTGTGTGTGTTTGTGTCTGACTCTGTGTGTGTCTGACTGTGTTTGTGAGTGTGTGTGTTTGTATCTGACTGTGTTTGTGTATGTGTGTGTTTGTGTCTGACTGTGTTTGTCTGTTTGTGTATGTGTGTGTGTGTGTGTCTGACTGTGTGTGTGTGTTTGTGTCTGACTGTGTGTGTATTTAGAAGGTGGGGCGGGGGGAAAGGTTGGGTGGGGGTGGTGCAGGGGCAGGGGGGGCCTGAGTTTTTCCTGCCTAGGGCAGCACACAACCAGGATACACCATGGGTCTTCCCACTGTTGAGCAATTGACCCCTGTCAAGGTATATCATCTGGGTGTCAAGGAGTTCTTCCTCTGAGAGAGGTAGTGGTGATCTGACTGTGGCGCCATTTTGGGCCGCAGGAGGCTGCAGCAGGTAGGGCGTTGTGGGAGCCTTCTCCAGTAGGGTTCTTAGCTTCTTAGCCTTCTTGCCCATTTACCTATTTTATTGAATATTGCAAATTTATGTTCTGTTCTATTTTTCTTATTTTCTTTGCTATTTCTGTAGAAGGTGTTATTCATTATGTTTCTTATATTCTTTAGCGCTATGTATAAACTGAAAGTGGGGGGTCTTTCTTTTCTTTTCATTCCAGCTGCCATCCCATCAGGTGGGCTAATGCTTTTAAAGCACCGCTTACAATATCTGATGTCTCCTTATTTTGTTTTCCAAGTAAAAGTTCAATTATTTTTTTTTACCTGTTCAGTATTATATATTTTATATAATATATTATCATTCATCGCCAATCTTATGAAACTTGTCAAAAAGTCTCTTGTAATTCAGTATGGTTGGTTATGGTCTGACCATGTTATATCCTATTTACCCTTTTTTAAGCATAGCATGGACATCCCCCGAAAGATCGATTCTGGAGTGGAATTGAATTTTTGAATAAATGTAGATGTACCGAACGGTTCGGGAACGGTTCCTGGCGAACATAGCATGTTCACGTTCGCCGGCGGGCGAACATATTCGCGGTTCGACCCGCCCCCTAGTCATCACATTGAGTAAACTTTGACCCTACTCACAGTCAGCAGACACATCCAGCAAATTAGCAGCACAGCCCTCCTCACAGACCCCCACCTCCTGACGGCTCCATTTTAGATTCAGCTCAAGCATGCTTAGTAAGAGGGGAAATGTAGCTGCTGTTCATAAGAGGGAAAAGCAGCTAGGTTAGGGATCCTAGGGTATGCTTTTTTTTAACCTTTTTTTCTATGTAATGTAATGCACTTAGTTGTCTGCCACTGCTGCCAGCTTCTCTCACAGTGCATACTGTGCCAATTTCCCCAGTCAGTGCCACCACTTACATCTGGTGTCACAATAGCTTGGATTTAAAAACAAAAAACTTTTTTCACTGTTATAGATTGAATAGCAGTTAGTTATCTTCAAGCAGGTGTGTCAGCCCTACAGCGTGTACTCTGCCAGTACGCTGCCACCTCCTCTACTCCTCCTACTCCATCCTCTTCCATAACCTCCTCGGCTTAGTCCTCTTCTGCTGCTGCGTCTTGCTCCACATCAACGGATAGGGGACGTAACAGTGATTAAACTGATAACAATAGTACTAAACACACCACTCCTATCTGGTGGCACATTAGATTGCACGCGCAGTGCCCCAAATTTGTTGTGATCTGTGAGTAAGGTAAACGGTTGTCCATACAAGTAGGTTGCAGCTTTTTGAGGGCCCACACCACCGCTATGCACTCCTTTTCAATGGCAGTGAATATACTTCGCTGTGCAAAAGTTTACGGCTTAGATAAGCCCCGGGTTGCTAGCCACCATCTGCTCCGACTTGGCTCAATACTGCTCCCAATCCAAGCATAGAAGCGTCTGTATGGCCGAGAAAGTGTTTGGTTGGATCAGGAGAAGAAAGTACAGGTGATTTAATGAGCGCCGTCTTGAGCTGTTGGAAGGCCTGTTCACACTCTGGGGCCCATACTACTATCTTGGGGAGGTTTTTACGCGTTCCTATATGGCACTTACTGGGCTTTAGGGTCAGTCCGACTCCCTAATCCGGTCTAGTACGGCTCCTATGTGGGTCAGGTGTTCGGGTCAGCAGCAGCTAAAAATGGCTATACCATCCAAGTAGGTGTGTATCAGTGTGTATTAGGGATCCTTAGGACAGGTGTCAATCCATATCTGCCAAGTGACCCGATGTTAGTAACATTCCTATTCTGATCTGTAGCCAGTGTGTATCAGGGATCCTCTTAGGACAGGTGTCAATCCATTCGCTAAGGGACCCGGCTGTTGGGGTAACATTCCCTATTCTGCTCTGTGTCAGTGTGTATCAGGGACTTAGGACAGGTGTCAATCATATCTGCCAAGTGACCCTATGTAGGGGGAACAGTCCCTATTCTGCTCTGTGTCGGTGTGTATCAGGGATCCTGAGGATAGGTGTCAATCCATATCTGCCAAGTGACCCTATGTAGGGGGAACAGTCCCTATTCTGCTCTGTGTCAGTGTGTTTCAGGGATCCTTAGGACAGGTGTCAATCCATATCTGCCAAGTGACCCTATGTAGGGGGAACAGTCTCTATTCTGCTCTGTGTCAGTGTGTATCATGGTCTCTGAGGACAGGTGTCAATCCATATCTGCCTAGTGACCCTATGTAGGAGAAACAGTCTCTATTCTGCTCTGTGTCAGTGTGTATCATGGTCTCTGAGGACATTTGTCAATCCATATCTGCCTAGTGACCCTATGTAGGGGAAACAGTCTCTATTCTGCTCTGTGTCAGTGTGTATCATGGTCTCTGAGGACATGTGTCAATCCATATCTGCCTAGTGACCCTATGTAGGGGAAACAGTCTCTATTCTGCTCTGTGTCAGTGTGTATCATGATCTCTGAGGTTGGGTGTCAGTCCATATCTGCCAAGTGACCTATGTGGGGAGGGGAGCAGTCTCACAATGCTGCTCTGTGTCAGTGTGTATCATGGTCTCTGAGGACAGGTGTTAATCCATATCTGCCAAGTGACCCTATGTAGGAGGAACAGTCTCTATTCTGCTCTGTGTCAGTGTGTATCAGGGTCTCTGAGGACAGGTGTCAATCCATATCTGCCGAGTGACCCTATGTAGGAGGAACAGTCTCTATTCTGCTCTGTGTCAGTGTGTACCATGATCTCTGAGGACAGGTGTCAATCCATATCTGCCAAGTGACCCTATGTAGGAGAACAGTCTC